CTAGTGAGGAAGAAGAATTCTCGGACGAGGAACAATACGTCGATGAGCTTTAAAAAGTTGGTTTCTTTAATAACTCTCGTTTATAGCTAGTTTCTTATATGTTTCAATCTAAATATGTATTATATTATGCAGATGACAGGCAAGGGTCGAGGTAACAATGACCTTACTGGTTCTCGGGGTCGAGAAAAGGCTAGGAAACCAAAGAGGAGGGTAGAAGATAATACTCAATCTTTTCCACCCTCTTCAGAGATGCCTATGTCTTATCCTCCACCCCAGGGCTATTCTGAGCTACCACAAAATCACGAGCCCTACACCTTCGTGCAGACACTAGGTCTTTCGTCATAGGGCCATAGGACTATACGTTCGGCATACAGTCCAGCTGCCTCACGACTACGTGGATCACAACCATCTACATCGCATGGATCGCATCGATCCATGTCACATCCACATGGATCACAGTCATCAGTGTCACAGCCACTCGGGTCACAACCACTCGGGTCACAACAATCAGTATCACAGCCACTTGCAGTCCATCCAGCTATGTCGCAGTCACAGGGATCGCAGCCATCTTCATTAGCGACTCCATCTATTTCAGGCCTTCGCCTGCGAGATAGTAGCTCCGACCCCCCTACACCTTCCACACTTGCCTCTGATATACATGTTTCGGACCGTAATGATGATGATGACGTGGAGGTGCATTATGATCAATATGGCAGGATCATCATAGTCCTTGAGGGTGATGGGTAAGAGTTATTTGTTATTTTTATGTTTATTGTTTTGTATAGCTTGTACTAAGATATTAATGTGTTTTTTTGTTAAATTGCAGGTTCATCCTGAGTAATATTACTACGAGGATAATCACCAAAGCCACCAGAAAGCTTTATGATGGCCCTCATGTGACTTGGAGTGAATTCCCATTCTCGCTGAAGGAGCAAATTTTCAATCAATTTAAGGTATAAATGTTCTTTTAAGCAGTATAATTATTTATATTTATGATATTTCCATATAATATTTAAATTTTGAAATACAGAGCAAGTGTGTATGGGAACACCACTATAGCGCGAAAGTGGCTGTAAATTTTCATCACAAAGCTCGCAAGCGGTTGTCGCATAGTTTCTCCAAAGCTAGAAAGTTGAACCAGAAGCCTGACTGGTTGCTTCAAAATTTATGGGAGGATTTGAAAAGGCAATGACTTACCGCAAAGTTCTTAGAGACGAGTGAAAAAGGAAAGAAAGCTCGCGCATCTGAGAAGGGAGGCTCCTGCACACTAGAGGTGCGATCAGCCTAGGGACAATAAAAAGAAGATTGGTACGTAATTGCTTAATTTATTTTAATTTTCAAAGTATATCTATTCTGTTTATTAACTAAAATTTATGAGTTTTCAGGAAAAGAAGTTGGGGCATCCAATGAACCAAGATGAGCTATTCAAGGAGACTCATATTGTAAAGAAGAAGAAAGAGACGTATCAAGAAAGGTGGGTTGAGGCTCGAGCCTCGACTGTACATGTAAGTTTTCACTTTTCAATAACTATTTTGATTTACTTTTATATAAATTTTGAAATACTAATTCAATGTACTTTCTTATAGGGTCGCTTCACAGCTGACGTGGAGGAATTCATACGCAGTCGGCCACCTAATGAGTCGGGCAAGCCAATCCAAACTTCGGATGAGGATGCTGAAAGAATATGGATGGATGCTGCTGGCGGTCCAAAATGGGGGAAGGTATACGAGCTTCCTACTAAGAAATTCCATTGCTATATGTGTGGAATGCAAGGAATAGGGACTTCCTCGCAAGGCGAGCAACTTGATGGGGAGAGCCTCTCGGCTATGCGGGAGACTATGACAAAGCTCACATCCGAGCTAGAAGCGGCAAAGGAAAGAGAAAAGCTTAGAGATGCTTAGTACATTAGCATGCAAGCTCAGTACCATGGCATGCAAGCTCAGCTCAAAAATCTCCTAGCTTCTGGAGCTTTTCCGATTCCCCGGTCTCGTGAGTCATCGCCAGAGGCTCGACTTGAACGTGAGCGTTCCTTCCGTCCTCCCCGTGCTCGTTCCTCCCGTCCTCCCCGTGATCGTTCTTCCTGTCCTCGACAAGTAGACCCTTCTGTATACCGTCTTGTTGATGAATCTTCATCAGATGGTGATGATAATGATGCTATACAAAACACTCCTTGACTTTTATATACTTTGAACAAGACAAATAGAACCGGTTTTGAACTAGTTGTAATAAGCGTTAACTTAGTATTGTTAGTTTAATTTGTTAGTTCTATTGAACTTTAATTTGTTGGTTTTAATGTATTTTTTGAATTGTGTTGTTGTTATGTTGTTGTTGTGTTTTTGTGTTGTTGTTGTTGTGGAGATTTTGGTATTGAAATTGTAGTTTATGAATTGAATTATATTGTTATTTAGGGATTTTGGTATGCTGGTAGGTGGTGTAGCTGCCAAAACAGGCATTTTATGCCAAAATTATTACCCAGAAAAGCGACCAAAGTTGGTCGCTAACCTATTAAAAAAAATATTTTCTGGCAATTAGCGACCGCTTATATTTAAAAAAAAATAAAAAATAAAAAATTGGCGACCAAGGTTGGTCGCTAATGAAATCAGATTTTATTTTTAAAAATATCTTGGAAATTAGCGACCAAGGTTGGTCGCTTATCTATAAAAAAAATTTAAAAATTAAAATAAGCGACCAAAGTTGGTCGCGTATGAACCCAGATTGTTAAATATATATTTTTTAAAATAATATATATTTTAGTTTACAGACCATCATTGGTCGCTAATTGTTGAATTCTAATAATTAAAAAAATATAGTATTAAATATACAGACCAACGTTGGTCGCTAAATTTATATCATTAAAATATTGTACCGACCAAAGTTGGTCGGTATCTTATTTACATTGAACATTTGGTCATTTTACCTTAGCGACCAATGTTGGTCGCTAAGTAAAAAGGACCACCAAAATAGCGGCCAAGCCTGTTTGGACGCGTTTTGGTCGCTAAATTGAGATAAACGACCAATGTTGGTAGCTATATGTGATCGCTTTTTGCCGAATTTCTAGTAGTGCTTATCAACGTAACTTACTTAAGAAATTGTTTAAAAATAAAAAGATAAAAAACCATCTCCTTTGAGTCGAAAGTCCTAAAAACATTATTTCCTTAGTCATTTCTTATTTTGTTGGACATAGAGTCAGTGGATGCAATTGAGGTAGAAGGTGAGGCTGCAGTGTTGATAGTGGAAAATGTTAAGTTGTCCCACATAGCTTGTGGGATATGGAATTGGTATTCAATATGTTTAATTTTTTGGCAATTTTCATTTCATGAGTTAGTTTTCGTAGTTGAAGCTGTCCCAACGTATAATTTCACATGTTATAAAGGAGTGGGGTGGAAATAGTTTTCTACAATTTAATTAGCAACTACAAGCTAGAAAATTGTTTCATCAAAAAAATAAGTATTATATTTCATAACAAATATCAATGAGAAAAGATTTCACCAACGGAATGGAAGTTTATGTTGTCATACTTATGATATATTTCATGTGTAGTCAACAACAACAATTATGCCGCAGTCCCAAATAAGATAGGATCGACGATATAAACAAATTACACTGTTATCACGGCGTCTGCACCTGAAACTTGTAATTGTCATATTATAGCCCCTATTCCGTTGTTGCTTAAAGTTCAAGAATCCTTTTTTTGGAGCCCTTCCATTAAGAGATTATCTCAAGAGAGAAGCGAAAGTTCAAGAAATCCTTTCCTTTTGATAGGTAAGTGTATTACCTATAATTAATCAAAGCAAACATGTAGCCTGGCCTGTTTACTTTTGGTTGAATACTTTTAATCCATGTAACTGCTGTATCTTAGAGGCATTTCTCGAATTTTGGTGTTTAATTCTTTATGCGATTGAATGTATGTTATGTATGACCCTGCAATTATATTCCATAAATAAATATAAACACTTCTTCCGAACTTATGCATGCATGCAGCCAAGTATCAGGTTGTATTACATATACATTCCTTTTATAACCTGATAATATCAGCTGTTATCCCTTGGACAACATAGCTTATGGGATTCGCTATAGTTAGACATATCTTATATATAGGTTACTATAGCCATTGCAAGGGAGGTGGAATCTGTTACTCGACCTGGCATTGAGGTAATTAAAATGTTGAATTCTAGTTGGAATCTGTTACTAGACCTGGGATTCGCTACACTCTGATTTTTTTCATGCTTTATTTTATCGAACTATTTCTTGGAGTAACAATAGTCTGTTGCTATCTGCATCCAAGGGTCTAGCCTTGTAGTCAATGAAATTGGAGACCAACCAAGGTTCGTATCTCAGGAGAGACAAAAATTACTAGGTGATTTCTTCCCTCATGTCTAATGCATGCAGAGTTACTCGGTACCTCTGTTGGTGGGAGAGGTGTAAAAACAATGAGAGTAATGGAGGAGCAGAGCTCAAGCTTGAGCTCCAATGGAGGAACCCTAGAAGGTTCTCGAAGATGAACAGAGAAGAGAGAATGTCGGTTATGTGAAATGAATTGACTAAACTGTATTAGACTTTCAACTGAGTACATATATACACTTTACACGTGTGTATTGTAAATGACCAATATCATCTAACTAATACACAATTAACTAGCTATTAACAAACTACTAACAAAAAATACCTATACACATAATAAATACACTATCTCAATACCCCCCCCCCCCCCAAGTTGGAGGTGAGGGTGTCACTGCCAACTTGCTCATAACTGTTGCATGCTTGACTCCAGTAAGTGCTTTAGTTAAGACATCAGCCAACTGACTATTAGTCCCAATATGATGAAGAGACACCAGTCCTTCCTGTAATTTGTCTCTTACAAAGTGGCAGTCTACTTCAATGTGTTCGGTCCGCTCGTGGAAAATAGGATTTCGAGCTATATGCAGAGCAGACTGACTATCCCAAAACACTGTGACGGGTGTAGGAAATGGAACTGTTAGCTCAGTAAACAGTCTGCACAATCAAACAAGCTCTCCAACTACATTTTTGAGGGCTCTGTACTCTACATCTACAGAAGAAAGAGATATGGTAGCTTGCTTCTTGGACTTCCAGCTAATGGAACTGTCACCAAGTAATACCAAATACCCACTAACAGATTTCCTAGAATCCGGGCAGGCAGCCCAATCAGAATCACAATACCCTCTGACTGTGCAATCTTGGCTAGCAGACATAAAAATTCCAAGAGTGGGATCAACTTTCAAGTATCTAAGTAAATGGTAGGCAGCTTTGAGGTGAGGTTCCCTGGGATCTTGCATGAATTGACTGAGGTGATGGACATTATAAGCAATGTCCAGCCTTGTATTCGTAAGAAAATTCAATTTGCCTATCAAAGTTCTGTAGAGACAGGGGTCTGCTAAGGGTACACCTTCCTTGGCTTGAAGTTTGACCGTAGGATCCAGTGGTGAGCTGAAAGCACTAACATGAAGGAATTCATACTCCTTTAGTAGGTCAAGAGCAAATTTTCTTTGAGAGATTATCACACCATCTTCCCTGTAGAGAACTTCTAAGCCTAGAAAATAATATAGTCTGCCCAGGTCCTTGATTTTGAATTGAGCATTAAGAAAGGCCTTCAAAGAATTGATTTCCTCTGAATTATTTCCCTGTGACAATGACATCATCCACATATACAACAACATACATAACAGAAGAGTCAGGTTTCTTGTAAAACAAATAATAATCATTGAGGGAATGTGCATAACCCTTGGAGCACAAGGCCTCAGCCAATTTGGCATACCACTGTCGACTGGCTTGTTTCAAGCCATACAATGACTTGTTCAATTTGCATACCAGCCCAGGTGTATCAACCAACAGTCTAGGAGGCAAATCCATATACACTTCCTCATGTAAATCCCCATGGAGGAAGGCATTGTTGACATCAAGTTGGAAGACACCCCAATGCTTCTTTACTGCAGTGGCTACAAATGCTCTAATGGTTGTCATTTTCACAACAGGGGAAAAAGTTTCAATGTAATCAACACCAGCCTGTTATGTATACCCCTTTACTACTAACCTGGCCTTAATCTCTCAACACTACCATCAGCTTTATGTTTGATCTTATACACCCATCGACAACCTATTGGTCTCTTCCCTGTAGGTAAGGGAACTAAGTCCCAAGTGTGATTGGCATGGAGAGCCTCAAACTCTAGTGACATTGTTGTTTTCCAGGTAGGATTCAAGGCTGGTTCCTCATAAGATCCTGGCTCACTATCATGGTAAACATTTCGCAGAAGTTGCTGACTATCAGGGACCAATGAAGTGAAAGGGACATGATGATGTTTGGAGAAAAGGGCATTGAGAGAAAAAAGGAGAATCTGAGTTAGATGTGGTGGTAGAAGAAGATGAAGTAGATGGAGGGTGAACAGTAGGATACAGGTTAGGTAAAGAACACACATAGTCTTCTAAATGTGCAGGTAAATGATGTTCCCTAGTAGACCTTCTAGGTACATGATTATTCTGAATTTGAGGTGTTGAATGAAGTACATGGGATTGCAAGGATGAAGAGTGACTTGGGGTGATATGGGAGTAGTTGTAGGTGAGGCTATATGGGAAGTGTCAGCTGAATCTGACTGTGGTCTAGACACACAATCAGTTGAGTGCATTTCAGGAGGTGACATATCTACTGTAGGAGGGACAGAATTAAGCACCAAAGGAAAAGAGGAAGATGAATTAGGTAGAATAGCAAAAGGGAAGATGTGTTCATGGAAAATCACATCTCTAGACACATGAATTTTTCTGGTGGCCAGATTCAAAACATTGTACCCTTTAGTATCATAGGGGTATCCCACAAAGACATGAGGAGTTGTCCTAGGCTCAAACTTATCTCTATGAACTTTAGGTATAGTGGGAAAGCACAAGCATCCAAAACTTCTCAAGTGGGAATAGGTTGGTGCTTTGTTATAGAGGATCTCAATTGGGCATTTATTTTTTAGATAGGTAGTGGGAAGTCTATTTATAATATGGGTTGCAGCCAATAGACATTCACCCCAGTATTGCAAGGGCAATTTGGACTGGAAAAGGAGTGCTCTGGCAGTCTCCACGAGGTATTTATGCTTCCTTTCTACAACTCCATTTTGTTGAGGAGTGTAGGGGCATGTTTTTTGATGAACTATCCCCTTGGACTGAAAAAATGATAAGGTTTCCATATTGACAAATTCTGAACCATTGTCTGATCTGAGGTATTTGACACTGGATTTAAAATGGGTTTCAACTAAGGATATGAAGTTCTTGATGACTTGTAAGACATTGCTTTTACTACTTAAGACACTACTACAAAAAGGGCATTTGGAGGCAATTATTTAGCGGCAATAAGTCAATTGCCGCTAATATATTCTATAAGCTAAAATATATGCGGCAAATGACCATTGGCCACTAAAAAATAACCTTTTACCGGCAATTAAAATCAATTGCCATTAAAAACTATTAATCGACTAACCGCGCATATAGGTTTTTCTTTTCTTTTTTTTTAAAATTTTCTCTCCCTGCCAAATAAATCGTTCCCTCCAAATATTTTGCACAAAATATAATCGATCGATTCCCTCCAATCAGAAAAAATAGGAAAACCTATTCCTTCATTGAACGAGATACGGTTTTCCTTCATCGAATAGGATACGAATCTCACATATCGATTTTCCTTCATTGAACAGGATACAATTTACAGAGTCTACATATAGGTCTGGCGAGTTTTTATTGTTTCATTGAACGGGATAACTGTTGTTCTTCCCCAGCCAGAATCGCAGAATCACAGAATCGTAGAATCGCAGGTCTCCGGCCAGATTAACAGAATCGAAGGTCTCCGGCCAGTTTCTTCCCCAGATAACTGCTCTTCTTCCCCAGGTATTTTCGTTTTTTCACCCAGCAGACGCGATTAACAGTGGAGTTAGGATTGTGCTGCTCGATTATGCTCTATCGTCGTTGTTAGTATTCTCTGTTTTATCCGTTTCCCACTTCTCTTTTCCTGTAGGTTTCAAGATCGTTGCAGAATTCAGATTTCAATTTCTTGTGTTTATTAACAAAACAATATGCTTACCAGGTACAAATTCGTGCCTTCAACTGTTGCATTTTGAGCTTTGCGAAAGTACAGTTTTTTCTGCATATGCGAGTCTTTTGTGATATCCGATTGTTGTAAATTGACGTGCGGTGATTGTGTTTATTCCTCCTCTGTTCTTTGACTGTTTTATGATTTTGTTCCTTTTTTTTCTGCTATTCTTGTAATTATTCAGAAATTTTATAAGTGTTGCTGATACATATTGATGTTTTCATTGAATCTACCACTAGTCGAGATATGAATTCCTCTGTATGTTTTCTGTTATTCTCGACATTGTTCATAATTTTTAAGTGTCGTAGATGCATATTGATGTTTTCATTGAATCTACCATTAGTCGAGATGTATTCCTCTATATATTTTCTGTTATACTTATCAAGAATCTGCCAATCAAATGCAAAGGCGATGGTTCCTTTGATCTATGTAAATACTAAAAGTATAATTGAGTATTGAAAGGAAGGAAAGATACATGTCTTACACAGTAAAGAACAACATTATAGTCTTGAGATCTAAAAACCTACAATCAGACAACAGATTGGTATGCTAGACAACTTTAGTTCTATTAGGTAGGTACAAAGTATTTGCGTCTAGAAAACTGAATAGTCGTGGGTGAATCCACATAGATGTGATGCTTTTAATAACAAAACTCAGGTAAAATCAAAATGATAGCATTGCCATTTGTAATAACAAATGTTTCCCGCTATCTCACCTAACACTAAGAAGAAAACACGCAGGAAAGAAAAAAAGAAGTGAACCTTAGTAAACTAATAAATATGTTTAGATAAGTAAATTGCCAATGAAACAATGCCTGCGTGGATCCCAAACTATATATTAAAAAATTATAATTTTAAACAAGATTAGTTGGGTCCCAAACTGGAAAACTGAATCGAGAAATCAAACTAAGAAAAGAAAAATTGAACAAAACAGCTATTGTCGAATAACTGAGAAGAGATAGAAGAGAAGAATGAGATAAATGAGTGTATCCAGTACTTTGTTGTTTGTTGTACAATAATCTTTGAGTTATGGAATTACATACAAATAGGNATACAAATAGGATGGTTATTTACTACATTTTGAATAATTCCCTCTGTGTTGACAGTAAGTGTAGAAAAGAAAAGAATATCTTGAACGTCATGGACAATCCTAGAAATAAAAGATGGAAGCATTGCGATAGAGTTAGTAAAAAATATTTGGATGGAGTAGATGATTTTATAAACCATGCCTTTTCTATAAAACAAGATGGGGAACAAATTCTATGTCCTTGTACGAAGTGTGAGCTTATCCATCAAGTTAATCGGGCTACAACATATGATCATCTTGTGATTAATGGTATTATGACATCATATGATACTTGGTTTTGTCATGGTGAGTCTTTAAAGGGATCAAGCAATGCTCAAACAAATAATCGAAGCCAGTCAACTCTAAGGGGCGATGATATGACAGGAATGATACATGATGCCTTTGGAGGCTTTACAGAGTTCATTAGTGAAAGTGGTGACGTAGATCATAACTTACAAGAGAATATTGCTCATCCATCTGGAAATCAACCTCATGTAGAGGTGGATAAGTTTGAACGGCTCATGAAGGAGGCAAATGAAGAACTATATCCAGGATGTAAGAAGTTTAGCAAACTGTCCTTTTTGCTGCATATGTATCGTACAAAGTGCATGTTCAAATGGTCAAATGAATCTTTTAATGCTTGCTTGGACTATTGAAGGATGCGCTGCCTGAAGGGGAAAAATTGCCTCCTTCTTTCTATGAGACCAAAAAGATAGTTGAAGGCTTGGGCTTAAAGTATGAAAAAATCCATGCTTGTCCCAACGATTGCATGCTTTTTAGGAAAGAGTTTGCTAATAAGAATATCAATGAATGCAAAGTTTGTGGGGCTTCTAGATGGAAAAATGATGCTAGAAAAATTCCAGCCAAGGTCCTAAGGTATTTTCCTTTAAAACCGAGGCTACAGAGATTGTTTATGTCATCAGAAACTTCCAAAGCAATGCGATGGCATCATGAAGAGCGCAACAAAGATGGAGTTCTACGACATCCTGCAGATTCTGAAGCTTGGAAAATTTTTGATAATAAATATCCTGAATTTGAAGGAGACCCTCGCAATGTGCGCCTAGGATTAGCTTCTGATAGGTTTAATCCATTTGGCACAATGCGAACTGTTCACAGTACATGGCCAGTGATTTTAATACCATATAATCTTCCACCATGGATGTGCATGAAACAAGAGTTTTTCATTCTGTCCTTACTTATTCCTGGACCAAAAGCGCCTGGAAATAATATTGATGTCTTTTTGCAACCTCTAATAGAAGAGTTAAATGAATTATGGGATGTTGGTGTAGAAACGTACGATGCCTCCCCTAAGGAGATATTCCAAATGCGAGCAGCTCTCATGTGGACGATAAATGATTTTCCAGCATATGGTACTCTCTTTGGATGGTGCACTTATGGTAGATTTGCATGCCCGTCTTGTAATATACACACTCAATCTAGAAGGCTCAAACATGGCAGAAAGTTTTGTTATATGGGGCATCGCCGCTTCTTGAAGTCAGGACACAAATATCGGAATGATGCAAAATCATTTGATAGGACTAAAGAAACAAGATCTGCACCTTGTCCAGTAACTGGTTCAGTAGTGCTGAATCAAGTTAAAGATATAAATTTTACTCTTGGCCAGTCAAGTGAAGCGGTAAATGGGGTGATGAAAAACACATGGAAGAAGAGAAGTATTTTTTTATATCTTCCTTATTGGAAATTTAACTTGGTGCTCCATAATCTTGATGTGATGCACATAGAAAAGAACATGTGTGATAACATAATTTATACATTATTGGATCTTGGTAAAAAGTCTAAAGACAACTTAGAGGCTCGATTAGACTTGAAGGAGATGAAAATAAGACCAAGCTTATGGCCTCAGTACCGAGCTAGTGGTAAATCATATCTTCCTCCTACTTTTTTCACAATGTCTCCGATGGGAAAGGAGTTATTTTATGAAGTACTACAAAATGTCAAGTTTCCAGATGGCTATGCGTCTAATATCTCACGTTGCTTTCGCAAACGAAAGATATCTGGGCTAAAAACTCATGATTGTCATGTTTTAATGCA